GCCCCCCCCCCCCCCCCCCCCCCCCCCCCCAATCTTTTCTGGTACTTAGGAGTCCTAAAATAAGTACACATACAGGTATGATAATCTGTGCACTTCTTTAGCCTTTCCATCAAGTTGAGTCATCATGATGGTAGTTAAAAATGTGATAACTTCCACAGGGATGTTTTCAAATAAGTAGCAAAGTTGTGAATGGGAAGCATTTTATGAGATTGATCTTTACAGTAAAAAGTATTTTGGCCTTTGTCTCATGGATACACTAATGACAAAGTCTATGTATGTTTTGGGTGATATTTTTTTATTATTATTTCTAGGAAAATGGAGCTACTTTTGTCAAGTTTTTTGTTTCACAGTACAGCTTGATGAAGTGCAACCAATTGAATTATTTCAGAGTAGAAGGATCAAGTGCCAGTATTTTGCCATTCATTCCTTAATGTTGAAATTAAACCTAACTCTATTGTAAGGCTTTTCCTAACTCCTTATTGCTATTGCTGAAAATATTTCATGTTTCAGATTGATTGTGTTGGGGTGAATGGCATATTAAGATGTGAGCAATATTGATGAATCTTGGAAAGTGTGTTTCTCCTACCTTGCCCCCGAACCTTGAATATCTGTAAAGAGAACTAAATTTTATGTTTCTTTTCCCTCCAAATGTTATCTATTAAGTGATCAGTGAAGGTGTTTAGTTTTAACAGTTTCCAGTGTTGGAGCCAAGAAATATAGACTATTTAATTTTTTAGGTTATATGTAGTACTAAAGGGCAAACCTTTTAAACTGAAGGGTAAGAAAATACCTGTACTTGGAGATGCTCAAAACTTAATGTAACAAGGCACTGAGAAACATGAACCAACTTTTAGGTTAGCTGTGCTTTGAAAAGAGAGTCTGATTGTATTATTTCCAGAAGTTCTTATGAAATTACTCTACATAAAAGAAAAAAAACCCTTAGTTATATCATAAATGAGTGCCATTCCCAGTCAACATGCTATAGATACAGTTTTAGTTTCATTAAAGTTTGACCACTTAGCAGAATTCGATTGATTTGATATCATCTTGCTTTGAGAAGCTTCTGCTTGCTGCAAGTTTGTGCTACTTTTGAGTTCTGTTTTCTGATCTTTTACAAGGCAGCTAGCTGTTACACAAGAGTAACAGGCAAATGCCTGAGTTTGGGTTGAAGGAAGAAAGTAGTAGAGTTTTTTGAAAAACAATTGAGTATAATTTGAATCATCATCAGACTTTTGAACAAAAGCAGTTACAATTAGCAATTCAAACAGGTTTAGTAATATTTCATAAAATGGACTTTCCTAGGTCTTATGGTTGTTTTTACTATTCTGATACACAGCTATGAAAAAATTAACAACCACTGATGAGAGTTGCAAACTTATTAAAATGTCGAAAGAAACTATTCTGGGGAGATTGTAATTAACTTGATTTACAGCTGAGTACTTAAGAGTACTTTTAAGCAATCGTATGTTTTTAAAATAAACCCTTTGAAGCCTGCAAGTAAAAAAATGTTAAACCTCAAATTTCTTTTCCCTCTTGAAAATATCTTATTAGGATTATATTATGGATTCTCCACCAGCTGCACCAGATAATACATCTGGTATACTGTTTGGTGTGAGACAGAACTCGGGAGTTCCACAGTACGAGACTGGGCCAGCAGTGAATGTAACAGGTGGGTATAACTGTAGTAGTTGATAAGAGAAAGAAACAGCCTAATGTAATTTAACTGTAGTGCAGATCTTTGGCTTATAACATTAAATAGGATTTCTAGAACATAGTATAGCTACTTTTTTCTTCCCCCTGTACATAACACTGTATAATGTTTAATGAAATAAACTTTGGAGCCTTGTGTTGTCAGGCTTGCTTTTCAGCACATTAGACTGACTGTAATATCAACTGATGTCGTCTTAAAATCCTCATTTAGATGGAAAAAAGTATTGCCAGATCCACTGTAATTTTTTTGACCGCTAAAGGCTCTTTTTCAGTATATCCAGCACTCTTTGACTAGCATGAATAGGAATAACTTAGCAAGAGAGGAGCTGTGGACAGTACCAGAAGAACTTTTTGAGTCTGCTGAGTGGGTTCCCTGGGATGATGGTCTTGGTTTCCTGACTGCTATATATAGGAGTTGGAGCAGATGGGATCAGAAGGATCCTGTCTGAAAAGGAGGGGAAAGGGAAAGAGTACATAGTTTGACAACTAAAATTTTTTTTTCAACTAGCTAAACTGTGTTTCAGCAGAAACTATTTAACCTATTTAAAAACAAACCAGAAAGCACCTTCTTTTGTGTCACAGCAGATAAAGTAGATCTGAAACGTGCAGTGTGTTCAATCTTAAACAGGCTATAACTTGGGACTTCCCTTCTCTTTTGTGAAGGATTGTACTTCTGTAATAACTGACCAAAATCCTGTCATTCAGTCTATAAGTTACAAATGACAATCACTTCTGATTCTTCCAGGAAGTAACAGGTTATGTCAATGAATGGCCCAACCGGTCATACTAACAAGTTATGTAGAACAGAGTTATTGCTAGTTTATTCTGCTTGATGTGATGATTTTGCATCTGTAGTTTAGGCTCTAGTTTCACTCCAGATACTTATCAATGAAGGTTTGGTAGTTTATTTACTTGCATGTGTCCAACTATTCTGTGATCTTATTCTTGTCTTACTGGGTTAAATAGCTTTTTGTGAAGTAAGCAAAAGTTTTATTTCTTGCAAGGTTCAGTATTCCAACCCTTGTTCTTCAAAGAACAGGTATTAAAGTGTAATTGTTTGTCGGTTTGGTTTGGGGTTTTGGGGGTTTTTTTTGTTTGTTTTTTAATTTAGGAGACCTGCTTGCATATTTAAAAATTACTTGTATTAGTCTCTTATCGAGAAAAATGAAATACTTAAAAGCATCAAGGACTGTATTTCAAAGCATCTTAAATATACCATACTTAGTCTATGTTTATTTCTGTGAGGTGGCAATAGGATTTAGAAATTGAAAGGAAAGGTTTATAATTGTGGGTTGAAACACAAATATGATACAGAAGGCAAATTTAAGATACATTTCACTTCATAACGAGGAAGCGTCGGCGTATTTTGTGGTTTGGTTTGCATGGTGAGGTCACATAACAGCTTATGTTTGTGTTGCTCCTATGTGCCGGTGCCTACTTGCCTATGTTGGTGCTATGTTTACTCTAATACATGTGTAGCACTGTGGGCACAAGACTTTCTGGAATATGGTATTTAAAAGCAGAATCCTTTTGGGAACTGGCCTGTGATACTCTGCAGGACAATTTAACTTCTGTATGTGGATCATTAAAGACATTTTTTAGCTCAATATAGCATAAATATTTATTTCTGAGGTCTAAGCAGGGAAATGACAAGCCGCTAATTGACACTAACCAACTATTTTGTTAGGTTGCTAAATAGGTGGTGGTGTTAAGTTAAACAGCATTGCTAACTTATCTGCAGGTTGGATGGGCACCAGGGATGTATGTAAAACTGTAGCTTGCTTTCCGAGAATATTTTGAGATCATTCTCCCACAAACTTTACCCACTTGGGGGAACCAGAAAATGCCATAACCAATAGAAGAACTGTTCTGTTGTATTTAGGAGTTGACTGGACTGTATACATGAATTCATAGCACTAGATTAATGGGAGATGTTGGTGAGGGACAATGCAACAGAGGCCTGAAACAATTTGGCTTTCATGTTCCCATTCTGTTAATTTGATCTGACTGTTACCAGAGTACATTTGATGCTTTTATTCTAGGTTACCATTTCTAATGTCTTTTGCCATCTTTCATAAAATCAGGCCCAGCCAGCACAGATGCACATAACAGTGTTAAGGATTTTACAGTAGGGTTGCGTGTTTAGAAACCTGTCAGCAAGGTGATACTGCATCCAGTATACTTTGCTCTTTCCTGCAATCATTTTAGATATTGTACACAATAATACTGTGTGTATGAGTCTAGCCAACTGTTTTGTAATAGCTACAAAATATTTACAAAAATATTCACTAATAGCATGAAGTGAAGGTAATAGACTCCTGAGCAGCCTGAAAACCAGACAAGAATTGTTTGACTGCTTCTTTTCTCTGCTGTCTTGAGTACCTGGGGTCCCTGACAGTTTCAGCTGTGTGGTCTGCTGGGTAGAGGACTGGAACAAACTAGTCTGGAACATGGGTGATCCAAGGAATTTTTGTGTCCATGCAGCAGCTGAGAGAGGCCCTTTGATGAAAAGAAGAATCAATCTGATTTTATACCAGCTAGATATTAAATGATACTTGGAATTGGTTTGATTATTTCTTAAAATAGGCTTAAAGGTTTTTTTAAATGAACAAAAAGCAGATTTCAAATGCAAATCTGCGTAGATTCTCCTATTATTATTATTATAGCTCTTCTAAAAGAGGGAATTTAATTAGATCAGAGTTGTATAAACTGAGTTAAGAATGCTCACCTTTTATAAATATATAAAAGTCTTCAAATTTTTTTGGTCACTGATGTGTCAAGCTTTTTTAATTGAAATTGTTACCAATTTTGTTAACATGTAAAAATGGTCCTTTTTTCCAAATCAGGTTTTCTACAGTAAAATAAAATACTTCACTGAAGATTCTTTTAAAATCAGTCAGACCTTCTGTCTTTTCCCTGGCCCTCATTACACAACTACACGTAATTAAATATGCAGCAGCAGTTCCTGCTGTAGGTTGATGGCCTGATGCTCAAATAGCCTCTATGATACAGAAGAATGCTAAAGTCATGCCAACTCTATGGAAGCCTTTGGCTCATCAAGACACATGTGTCAATATAACCAGCTCACATGTGTAACAGTGCAAGTATAAGTAAATTTAAAAACCCTAGGGAAGTGGTAGTATCCAATGAATAACCTGTTTATTTTGTGAATGTGTTAATTACCTTAGGCAAACAAAGCCGAGTGAGACATTTCAGCTTAATATGTTCATTTATGTCAGAAAGGAAAGGTATGCTACAAAGGAGAACATTAGGATGATTAAATACGTATATAGCAGTGAATTATGTTTTCCTGTATATGAGGCATAGTGTGGTAAGTTCTCCAAGATGTTCAAATGTGAGTATTCCCTGCTGGGAGTCTTTGCCTCTGTGGAGTGAGTGGGGAGACTATCCAGACTGCTAGGTGTAGATAGTTATCACTGAGTAAACACAACTTGGAGGTGGGAGGGGGGTGCTTTTATTTATTCTGAGAAGTTGATTAATTTTATGTGACACAAGTTATCTCTGGTTGTTGAGAGGACTTTAAAGATACTAATTCAGTTTCTTGTTACACCCAAGGAAATCACTGGAGCAGCTAGACCATTGGGAGGGGAATGAACAAGAATGTCCTTAGTTCAGATCATTGTGTCTGGAACTGGAGTCTGGTCCTTGTCATAGTTTATGACAGTCTTAAGGCTATTTGCAGTCTGTGAGAGATTTACAAGGCCTGTGCTGGCACTTCAGACTTATTGGTACTCTTTCAGGTCTACTTGAGGACTGATCTCTGTATTGAGATTACATCATCAAGGGTAATCTTACAGAGACATGGGCTTCAGGACAAGATGGAGCCAAGTACTGATGGGCATGTTAATCAGGCACTGAACCTCTGAATTTCCAAGTTAATTTTTAGTGATTTTCTTTTTTTAGAAGAAATACTGCAAACAATAAGTCAATCAACTGTTCTGAAGAGCAAATAGGTATGCTGTGATCAGTCACTAGAAGTTACAACACTGTTTTCATTTTTCATCAGAAGGGCAGAGGCTGTTCCAAATAGTGGGCATTGCAGAAACTAGCTCCTTAGCTTAACTTCATTTCTCGGAACTCGCCTTTTCTCAGATTAGTGTGGGTCAAGATGTGAAAAGTAGGCCAAATAAACTCAGGTAGTCAGAGTGTGATTTACTGGGTTTCAGGGATGGGTCTGTGTCTCTTTGCATTTACCCTTTTCTCCACTACTGGCCTTAGAAATTCAGACTGAGTTGGATGTTGCTTTCTTAACTTCTGTATGGCTTATCATTTTAGGGAAATCTTAGCTGCTTTATGTAGACTTTACATATCCTTTAAAGTGTAGGCATCACTAATGTGTTCATAATATACTATGGAAAAAAACTGAGGTTCTTTAATTTAAACCACTGTAGGTCTCAATGAGAGTGGTTTTGTATCTAAGCGTCCTGCTACTTCTGATGGCAACAGTGTAACTGCAAAAAAGGCCAAGCCTAATGAGGTTGGTGCTGGAAGCAATTCAGCTGTTTCACCTACAGTTAACTCTCCTCCAACAGTAACACCATCACAAAATGTATCTTCAAAAGGTAGGGTAGATCAAATGGTCTAGCTCTCAATCCATGCATCTGTTTCATGGAAAAAGCTAGTGCTCTTGTAATGTTTAAGTTGATTGGTATTATTAATGCTATTAAGGCAATGTAAATAAGTAACTCTTCTTATGCCTTAAAATAAGAAAAACCTTTCTATGCAAGGATTTACATACCTTTACAAATTAATACACCGTAGGTTATTACCTATTCAAATTTTAGACCTTTGTTATTTAGTAGGTACGTTTGAATTCTGTAAAGCAATGATTAGTTAAGTTGTTTAGTGGCTGTGAAGACAGATGATCAAAACAAACACCTCGACCTCATACTCTCAGTTCAGATTTTCTATTTCAAAGAACTGAATAGAGAGTTGAAACTTTAAAAAGCAACTAACCAGAAAATCAAGATTGAAAGAATTCTGTGACTGCTGAATTTATCAACTAATTCTGATTAGGTAAAAGGAAGAAAAAAAAATTATTGTAGGAATGTCAGGCAAGGCAGCAAGGACTCAGATTGTGGAATCTCCAGTGTTGGAGATATTCAGAAGTTGACTGGACATGGCTCTGAGCATCCTGATAAGGTTGGACTTGCTTTGAGTGGGAGGCTGGACAAAAACACCTCGACAGGTCCAACAAATTATTCTGTGATTCTGTATTTTGACTAACTATTGCAAAGTGTGTTTTGCAGTTCCCCCCTTTCTTTTGCAGCAGTGTTTTTGATACAGTTTAAAATAGCAGTTGGAAAGGACGAGGGGGATTTAAGCTTCAAAGAGAGGATGTTCTTTGAAAGACCTTCCCCTGCCTACAAGAAGAGAGGTAGTCTGTTTCAGTGTATTAATAATTAGGTGCATTTTCCTCCTGAGCCAAAAGGTGCTTTCCAGCTGATTGTAATGGACGAAGATTTACTCTTGACTTTGAGATATTTCCAATCACATACTCTCTCCTATAATGTTAAAATGAGGAGCTACCTACAGTGTGATTCTGTTGTTTGGAATCATTTCATATTGGGGTTTTTTTTGCATGTCTTGTTTGCAGCTTGTTCACTATCAGACTCTTCCCCAGCAACCAGAAGGAAGTGGCTATAACATGGCATATTGCAGCAAAAAATTTTCCTCCACCCTGTGTTGGGTAAAACGTATTGTGTTGCAGCCTAAAATACAGAAAAGATAACCGGGGAATCTTACTAAATGTAGTAACAAGTAGATCATATTCCCTGAGAACCTTATTTTTATGAGTTTGTCTCTAACATGCTAGCATAGCAATTTCTAATCTGTCACAGAATCCAGCACTGAAGCACTGCAGAACACAAGATCTTGCTGCAGAACCTGTTTTCTTTCAACTCAGCTTGCACTTAGCTGTGACGTGTCAAAGTGTTTTAGAAACCATAATAGTGAAGACTTGCAGCAATGTTTTGCAGTACATCTCTTGCATGGCCATCCACTCATGTGAAGGACTTTCTGCTTAATTATGATTCTTAGCAATACTGTTACCTCCAAGGAAAAATACTGTTTGATTCATGTCTATCTCATGGACTATGCAAGACTATTTTTGTGAAAAAATGTATAATACTGTTGCATGGTCATCTCAATTCATACACTTACTCATTCCCTTGTTATAAGGTGGATGTATTTGTGTGTTTATTACATTTTGTCATAGCCCTGACAGGGTACAGTTGACTCTACAGTTGAGATGTTACTTAAAACTCTTCCTGTGTTTAACCTCTTCTTCTAAACTACTTGCTCAGCTTGGAGTCCTCCAGATCTGTGAATGACTTGAGAATGCAAGAGAACTTCATCTGGAAAAGTAGCTCCTGCTCTGATGTTTTTTGGCAGTTTGGAGAAACCTGGAAGCCTGGGTTTATTTATTAAAGTTTAAGCTAATACAAAGCTTTTTTGGTTTTGTTTTTGCTCAAAAGTTATTAATCATTTTATGTTGATAAGAGAAATACTATTTCCTTTCACTACTGGGAGTAATTATTTAGAGGATTTACTCTCCAGGTTCTCCAAAGACACCTTTGCTCAACAGGAATGATGCATCTGAATAGGCCTAGGTTCCAACAACTGTCTGGAGGGAAATATTCTCATCATTGAGAACCATATGGTGAAATTCTTCCCCAAAACCAGTTATCTGAATCCTATTGTGATGATGATCAGGTCATGGCATGAAACAAGTTTTACAAGTTCATTTGAGAATTAAAGTTCTTAAAAACATCAAAAATCCATCCTATCCGGGGGGTGGTGGTTCACAGAATTAATGCTTTGTCTCTATCGTGCTACCTTCACCCTCTCCCATATTTTCCTGATTTGTCGTTAAGATTTTGTAAAAGTTGTTTATAGGCCTATATAAAACAGAACAAACTCAAACTCAGTTTGGAAAAAAGGAAGGGTAGTTAAAAGATGGTTGTAAAACCTTGCTTATGGTTACTACAGCTAATAGTTTTCATTTGAAATGACATATTTTTCTAGAATAACTAATAATAAATCGAGTATTCTGCTTGTGAATTCTGAATCTTAACGTATTTCAAATTTTACAGGTACAAATGCTGCATCAAGCACCATTAAAAATGGAGGACCTTTTCCACGAGCTTGTCCAAAGTGCAATATTCATTTCAATCTTATGGATCCTCTAAAAAATCATATGAAGGTAAAATCTTTTGGGGCTGGTAGACATTATAAAAAACTTATGTGGGCTTCTGTTTGGTTATGAAAGAGTGCCATGTTTTGATATAAAGATAGTCTGGCTTCTGTCTATGATCAAGCAGAGCCCAAATGCTCAATGTCTTGCAGTTGTGGAGAGGAAAAATGGAGTAGGGAGCTCTAAATCTTGCCACTTTTTGCCTTATTTTTCCAATTAATTGAGGCATATTTGCTGTCTCTGTATGATTTCTCTCTGCCACAGCTGTGACTTTTTGAACCATTGGCCAGATTCAGGTGAATTTGATGAAGGTAAGTGCCTATGATAATAGGCAGCCATTTGACCCACATCTGTGTTAGATTGCTACTGAGACAAAGATGACAGTGTAAACTTACCTTTTCATCTTGATATGTCACTTAGTAGCTAAAAAAGTTGTTAAGCTGAGTGGAAAAACTTAATTTGTAGTTCATACTTAAACACTGTGAGAAACAAAGCTTTCAGAAACTGAGCATCACTTAGTCTGCTTATGAAACTACTTGTTATTGGTTCTGGAAACATTGTTTCCTGGAAAATATTTGTTATTATTTGGGGAAGATTCATGCAATTCTCAGGCATATGTATTCCATTTCAGGGGGCAGAGAAATGGTGTTGCACTCTATATACAATGTGTATAACCCATGCAAAAGGGAGCATGAACTACTGTGTAATAGAAAAGTGTGAAGCTCTGAGTTACTGTTAACACAGATCACTCTGATCTACTGCGCTTAAGATACCCTAAATAGTAGTTACTGTGCTCTTCAGCTTCAAAATACAATTAAGAAACATACATAACAGTGGAAAAATATCAAGGGTTTTATCCTTCTCTAATCATTATTTGTAGAGAATAGCTTTTGCACTCTGTACATCAACCGAATGAAAGAACCATTGAAGGAGTGGGTTTGCTTAGTATTATTTAATTAAAGTTTTAGTTAAACTGTATGGGATAAATATACTGAGTTACACTTCCACAGTAGGAAATGAACTCCTAGTAGGCTTATAGAAAGTAGTCCGGCACAATAAGAACCATTATTCAGCAGGAGAAAGATCTGTCCTCTGAAACGCTCTAATTTTGCTCACTGTTGGAAACTTCGTAGCATCTTCTGTATGAAGTACTTCATACTTTTTAAGTGTTATGTTTCATAGTATAGTTATTGGGTTAAGCATTCATTATGTACTGTCTGACATAAAGAAACTTGAACAATGTGTATTTTGTGACTTAGAATTTCTGAATTTTTCAGTAATGCTGGAAGGAACTTCTGCACGTTTCAACATATGTCCTCCCCAAAGAAATAGAACATAAAAACTTTCCATTAAATTCTCAGTAAACTTATGCTTGTCAGCAAAATACTTGCATAAAAGCTGCTTTTCTCTTTCTCATTATTAAACACAGTAGATGTTTTTCTAATGAGTAAGGCAACACTGGTATTCTGATTCTAACTTAAATTTATCTTACATGAGCCTCTGAGAATAATATCTTTCCAGTTTTTATAATATATATTGTGTTTTATTACCTAAACACGACCTAAAGTTCAGTTACTGTTCAAAATCCATATGTGAATATCAATAAAGTTGGTATGTCAGAGAACTGAGCTTTGCATCTAGCTCTAGTTAGTGAGTGGCTTCATTTTTTAAAATGCTGTTGTCATTGATGCAGTTTGGTAAGAGAGACTGATGCCTTTGTCTCTTCCCTGTTTCCATCCAGTATTGTTGTCCAGACATGGTAAATAACTTTTTCCTGGGAATGGCAAAAACAGAATGTGTGAGCACAACAAGCAAGACTGCTGAATCTGAGAAAGGAAAATTGATTATGTTAGTTAACGACTTTTATTATGGGAAACATGAAGGTGACACCCAGCAGATACAAAAGGAGCAAAAGACGCATACGACATTTAAGTGCTTCAGTTGTCTGAAAGTTCTTAAAAATAACATAAGGTATTTGAACTCACTTCCTTAGTTGTTTGTTAATCACTTATAGCCCATAGCACTTAGTCTCATGCATTAAAAATTTGTCTCTCTGGAATAGAATTTTTTTTCTTCTTGAAAACTAATAATATTGGGTGACTGAACAGAAATTGAATTAATTTTTACTGTGCATGTATGGCCATGACTTAAACTTTTTACGGATTAGAGTACAAATTTTAATGGTGTCTCGCATAAACAGTAGAGTTTTAATGAGAGCAGTTGTAGGACTTTGGAGGTAGAAAGGGCAACACAAAGTATTTTAAAACTTGCCATCTGGATTGATGGTGATATCAGTAGATGCGAGTGTTAATTCCCTTTAGGGATGCACAATGACTAATTGTTGGTGGTTTACTTATGTAACATCTGTTATTTTGATGGAATAATTTTACTTCTGAATGCTGCAAAAAACTTCAGTAAGCTGTTTTAATAGGTAGACGAGTTCATGTCATTGTTCCTTTGGAAGTTAAGGTCATTGAACTTTTTTATATGCATTCTTCAAGGGAAGCTGAAGTAGCAAAATGTAAAATTTAAAAATGGACTATTCTTTCAAAGGGCACAGTCTGCAAGTTAAAATGAACAGGTTTATGCTAACATTAGACCCATATTATTGAATAAAAGTTTCTTGTAGTTAGAAGCATTAAATTTGCTATTAATCATTAAGTATGTGTAAATCCTAAGTAAAAGTGCCAGTATTTTGTTCCAAGCAGCTTGAAAACGTTGCATGTTGTTAGACTTCAAAAGAGTTTACTCTCGTGATTTTATAGTTCCTGTTAATTATGGCATTTCTTCCCTTGCAATTTAACTTTTTAAGAGCAATAAACAATGTTTGACATGGGCCAGGAGGTTTTTCTTCTGGTTTTGGATGCATAATACTTTTCAGATAAGCCTTTCTTGCAGTATCATGAAAAGTAGTCCACAGAAAGAGTACTTTATTAAGATACTGGGTTCATTTTAAAGAATATTTTTCTGGCACTGTTTTCTACTCGGCATTATATTGTGAGCTATTGGTGCTATGGTGCCTATGGGTTGCACAGCAAGTCATTACAAATAAGCACTTAATTTTTTCTTTGAACTTCTCTAGAGTCTACTTTCAGCCACACTAATTTTTGCTGTAACTTTGTAGCTGTATTCCATAGTTCTATAACTTCAGAATTTTTATTTCAAGGTATATTTTACACCTTTAATCATTTATAGTGGACAAAATAAATACATAGTATCTTTCTACTTCTAGTGGAAGTTTTCTGGACCTTAATTCAGAAAAGCACAAAGTGATGTGCAGCAGGTAATCCCCTGCTTCCTTTAAAAGATCTGTGGTTGAATATACCATTGAAATAATGTTAAGGCAATATGCAGTACTAGTGTCAATTCCTTTCTTCTGCTTAGGTACTTGGATATCTTCAGTTAGCTCTTTTTTTTTTTTCTCTTTTTTTTCCTTTAAGCAACTGCATGATACTAGAAGCTTGAGCTCAAGAGACTATTCTCCTTGCTTGTTTGTTTTTTCCAATTCCAAGGTCACCACTTTGAGAACTACATTCCTTTTGTGAGTGTGACCTACATTTAATAGTTCCTCTGGCTGTTCTAAATGAAGCACATTCAAAATAGAACAGTTTTTGAAGTTTAACAGTAGTGCGTTGTGCACTGTTTGTGCTGCCCCACTAGCAACTGTGACCTGCCAATGCTGTCATGGGTGCCTAGACTTCTCAGCCAGAATACGTTCCTACTACAGATAAGTGGATATTAATGAGGAAAAGGTGGTAACTTGAAGCAGTAACATACCACCAAGCTTGTCTTACTCTTTTGGTTGTCAACTGCACAGTGGCATTCTTTGATAATTGCCCTTCATAATTCAACTTCAGTCATAAATGCTTTATACAAAGACAGCTCTTGGAACCCTGCCAGTTTTGGATGGAGGTGGTTTCAGATAAAGCTGTAATGTCCTAATTGCAGATATGTTCTTGCTATTCAATGGTTTTCAGCAGAGCTAAAGTTACCCTTGTTTCAGAATGTGGCTTTGAGACTCTGATGGTGGTGAAGTGTGAACAGCTGAAATGTTTTGTTGTTGCCTTCGCTAATTTCCCTTTATTTCAAGGCAGGAATTTGGTCTAAGCAAACATGAAAAATGCTTAGTCTTAGAACATGTTTCAGATATGTTGCATGTTCTTTATAATAGTCAGGATTTCTTTTTAAGCTTTGAAAGATGATTTCTGGCATAGCTTGCTTAACTTCATTAGTTTTTTTTTTTTCTAATGATCTTGTTAGTTAGATTTTTTTGAAATTCAGAAGTCCTTACAAAGTAAAGTTTCTAAAGAATCCTGTACATCTTGCACGTGATATGTCATGTATAGTAAATGTTAAAATGTAGTTTTTTGCACCTATTTACTAACATTTAAAGGTTTATGAACCACATGAAGCATCATCTAGAGCTTGAGAAGCAGAGCAGTGAAAGTTGGGAAAGCCATACCACCTGCCAGCACTGTTACCGTCAGTTTCCCACCCCATTCCAGCTGCAGTGCCACATTGAAAGTACACACACGCCTTATGAGTCATCTAGTAAGTTGGATTGTATCACACTGAATCTTTTTGTGACCTAAAATCTTTAGATATTTCCTGACTTTTACTTTGCGGGTTTGTAACTTCAGAATAAAGCTGTTGTACTTTAAGAGTAATAATCTTGAGATTTAATATAGGAGCTGAGCACTCATTCAATTTATGTTAGAGCAGTGTGCGTGGAAAAAAAATATTTTTAAAAGCGTTTTGTTTTGTTTTTTAATTGAAAGCTTGACTGCAAGAATTCATGTTGTTTAACAGCCTTGCACTCCTGGCTTCCTGAAATTGTACAGGGAATTTCTTCTGAAGAGTAAAATAATCGTTAGATCGCTTTACCTTTATAGATACATACAGTTCACATATACACATGTATTACAATTTATCTACTTGTGACCCCAAATGAATTTTTACTTTTTTCTTGTTTTTTGCTTTTTCTAGCGATTTGTAAAATCTGTGAATTATCCTTTGAAACAGAGCAAGTTCTTTTGCAACATATGAAGGACAATCATAAGCCAGGTGAAATGCCGTATGTTTGCCAGGTATCTCAGAGTAACTGTTTTGTATTTAGATTACACCACCCCCATCTTTACTGTCAATAAACTTTTAACAAGGAAGTCAAACTTTTTGTTTTAGGTATGCAACTACAGATCCTCAGCTTTTTCAGATGTAGAAACACATTTTAGAACAGTTCATGAAAATACAAAACATTTGCTATGCCCATTTTGTCTCAAAGTAATTAAAATCGGAGCACCGTATATGCATCATTACATGAGGCATCAGGTAAGCAGATATTTTCAATCCTTAATGCTAGAAAAATGCTAAATATATGTAATGAATCTCTCTGGGGAAAAAAGCGTAACTGATTTGTATGGTTGTTACTGGATAAGAATAGTTAATAAAATATGGTAGATGAATTATGACTGCTTATTTTGAAAAGTCTTTAAGGGAATTGTTAAGACTTTGTCATGTTTTTCTGTGACAGCAGCTCCCTGTTTAAAAAAATCTCTGAATATCCTTCAGGGAATATCTCTGCTATTTGGTTTCTTCATGAAGTTGTAGTGATGTGTTCTGCTTTTCTTGAGATTACTAGCAAACCTTTCACTCAAAGGTTTCACTTCTCAAAGTAGAGAAAAAGATTATGACGTACTGTGTCATCTTGTAACTGGTAATCTGATTCCTCCTTCTCTTAGTAATGATACTGCTTTGCATTTTCAAGTATTTGAATATTCTGTCTTTAATTCCTACACAATATCTTGGCTTTGTACACTGTTAGGAGTTTGTCCAGTTGATCTTTTAGAAACTGGATGACCATTGCTTGAGACAAGCTAGGGCTGGAGTTTTGTTTATCATGACATTCATGCTTACTATAGATTGTCTTCCATTTTTAAAAGAAAAAAGGAATATACCGTTGCACTAAGTGCAGACTGCAATTTTTGACATGCAAAGAAAAAATGGATCACAAGACTCAGCATCACCGAACATTTAGGAAACCCAAACAGTTAGAAGGATTGCCTCCTGGAACAAAGGTAGGTGTTAATACAGGAAAATTAGAGGGGACAAAGGAAAAAAATGTAGTGGTAGAGAAAGGGGTGGAATAAAAAGAAGCGCTTTTCTCATTTCTTTTACAAAGCAGAGATTTTTTTTTTAATTTTTTTTCTTCCACCTCTAAAACTAACACTCTAAAACATACTCCTGTTGCAAGAATTGCCAGGCAGGCGCAGTTTATGGTTTCTTCCTGGTGATCTGTGGCATTGTTCTGTCCCATTCTTCCATACATGTATATGCCAGTAGTCCAGTCAGTGCTGCTGCTTTCTTGAGCTGTTGGTTAATTTTTCTCCTCACGTTTATCCTTTCTTGTGCTAGGAGAAAAGGAGATAGTCTGGATGTTGGTCTCAGGGGTCTGCATCATTTCTTGTGAAAGATTTTTCAACCTGTGGAAAGTCATGGCATAAAATAATACAGAGTGCAGAGACAATGTGTGCTTATAAACTGAGTTCACCAGGTCCTTTTTAGCTCCAGCATTTGAAGGGGAAAAAAACCCCACAATTTTCTGCTAAGTGTTTTATGAAGTAAACTTGAGTCCCTTCAGAACACTTAGGCTATCTTTAAATGATTCTTCCATTTTGAGAAGCAATCAGTTAGACTAAGAATTTCCTGTAGATTTCAGGACATTTTCCCTACAGTTTTTTAATGAAGTGTGAAGATACTTGTCCTTTCAGTTGAAAGGAAGAAGAAAGTTTACATTTTGATCAGCTCTTTACGGTTCATTTGCTGTAGAATCAGGAAGGAAAAATGACTGAAGTTCATGTTGATTGTGTTGCTTGGCAGAATGTAAGGCACTGATCCTCTATTCTGTGACAATACCTCAATTTTCTAAAGATTTCAGGGTCTTCATAATCTAATAAAAGCTTAGATTATGTTAGAATTTTGGTGTTAGTAGACCTTGACAGGATGTAGATGATGAGAATTAAATGCTTGGAACCAGGTGTAGAAGATGAGGTGCTTCTAAACTACGAGTATGGGCAAGAAGTATAATTAGGAGTCACGCTGGAAGTGAAAACTGGAGAACCAAATTTAAGGGCAAGACAAGGGAGTGTGATAATGCCAGATGAGAGGTCAGAAACCAGAATTAGTCCTTGGGGGTCTCGGATGAGGAGCAAAAATATCTGAAGGAAGTAGATTGGCTAATTGTGAGGCAACAAGACACAAGGCTTTTGTTAAATCCAGGCATTGGTGGATTGTTTGATATTCTTAGTGTTAATTGGCCTGACCCTTCTGTTTCTTTTCCACAGCTACATTTTTTTGTTTTAAGCAAGCAGGATGTAGCCAGTTGCAGGTCTAAAGAGAGAGCGGTGTGTTTGGTCATGGCTAAATATTTCCACTAAAACAAGAGTTTTTTAAGCATCCAATAGACTATTGAAGTTAGATTTACTCTAATCAACAGTACTTCGTATTTTTCAAAGCAGTCTCTGAAGAGTGTTTCTTATGCTATGATTTTTGTCCTAAAGTGGCTTAAACTTTGAGACAAATAGAAATGGGAACTTAGAAAGCTAAAATCTAAATAGAATTTTTTTTATAATTTCATACTTGTAGGTGACTATTCGAGCATCTGTTGGATCTCTTCAGTCAGGATCATCAGCTACATCTTCTGTTAGTACAAGCAGTTCCACGTTTCAGTTATCACCTAAAGCTAAAAATACAACCACTAAAAATCATAACAAATCTAATACAAATAAGTCAAAAGCAAAATCAAAACCAACTACATCAAAGAAGCAAAATGCATGGACCAACAGCAAAAAAAAAAAAGAAGTTACAAATACGGCATTGCATAATTTAAGGTAAAATATTAGCATTAAAAGTATCTTTAAGTATACTTTGAATATAAATAACTGATCATTTAATTACCTTTCGATAACTTCTAATACTGCAATACAGAAGATTTGACACTTCCATTTTGCAGAAAAAGCAGGTGCATAAACTTTTCACATACTGGTACTGTGATTATAATTCTGAATCTTCACTTAAGGATTTTGTTGGGGGTAGACTACTTTATGATGGGAGAACAGATGTTCTGGAAATTTTTCTGTTCTAAACTTAGAGTTTTTCTGTGCACAGAGCCACAGACTCTTGAAATACAGGCTCATTAGGCAAATTTATGTTTAAAAGTGACCTGTGGAGGGGAATACATCTGCCTGGGTGTTCTTTGCAAGTTTTCTTATGGAGAGAAAAGTATTTTCCTCCTTCAATTTTTTTTAAGGGTTTTATCTGAACCCATTATTTAAATGTCCTAGGACCTTAATTTGGGGAGCTACCAAAGAAAAAAAAAATCAAGAAAGTAAAAGCAAGCTGTTGGGAGAATGCTGTCCTTATATTTATGATTTACTGGGGTTTGCTATCCTTATATCGATAATTTAATGGATGTTTTATAGACTAGAATATAATTCTGTTGGCTAAGATGAGTTAGCAGTTTTCTTTGTCAAAGATTGTAGATGTCTCCCTTCTGATAAGGTGCTAACACTCACAGTGTGTAGCTCTGAGACATCCAAAACCAGCCAGCAAAATTGGGGAAGACCAGGGTTACATTCTTGCTTTGTAGGTATTTCAAAGCTTGTGGATAATATCAGGGAGGGCAGGAAAACCAAAGGCTTTTTCTCTGCATTGTGGTGCATGAAGCATTTCTTTAAAATCCTTCTCAAGTACGTAGAGACAACAGCAGCAACTGAAGTTGAGGTTCTCATCTACTGCAGTATCTTGTTTCCAGGAGTGGCCAATAACAGATGCTTACATTAACTTTCAGTCTTTTATTGACATCATAATGACAGAATAATTGAAGAAAAAAAGTGAAGTTTTCTTCATATGTACTAACATGACCTGTAATAAGTATTTAACTGATACATTTTTAAGTTCCTCATTTTTTCCCTAATGCAGGCAAGCTTGTTACTGACTTAAAGCAAAAAGTTTGAAATAGTTATCTCACCTTAAAGTGTTGATATTAACTTTTACATATTACTGTTAGGTATCGTCTGGGAGCTCACAAATGCATTGAGTGTTACTCGGAAATAAAAGATTTTGCAAGCCATTTTCCTGCTTATGTCCACTGTAGCTTATGCAGATACAACACTAGCTGTAGCAAAGCCTATGTGAATCACATGATGAGGTAAGAACTCCTTGAAATTTTCACTGGGTTATCAAATACTTCCTAAATTCATGTGAGGTGTGTTAAGTGTTTCTTTTAGCTGAATTTTGAACTGGGTCATAGGACTGGCATGGAAATGTGTAAGGTTGGATTTCTACTTTGTAATGAGGACCTAAACCCCATGTTCTTGTTTTGCCTTAAAAATCCAGTGGTTCAGGCAGTGTTCTATCTTGTGCTTCAGAGTTTCTATGGCATCTTCCATAATTGTTTCAGCCACACTTAACAAATAATGACTAATTGTTGCATGTTCTCTGGGTTTCAGAATGAATACCTCATCTGATTTTACAAGTGCTAAATGCATACAGCCACAGCTATTGCTAATGAAATCTGTGGTCAGAATACCACGTAAAGGATGTCTCAAATAGCATACTAAAGTGGATGCTTTTTCTTATACTACTTCTGGTCATCTGTAAAAATAATGTCTCATTTTGCAGGACATTTGTCACTGATTGTGAGGCAGTGTAGGGTATTAGTGATGACAGCTGTAAAAAAGCCTGTTAAGAAAACAAATGTGTTAGTTTTCAGAGCAGTAGAATTATACTGTGCAATAATTAGACACAGATCACGTAGCAGTGACAGTAAAACAAAATTTTGAAAACTTACTTGTTAATCCTGCACCCTGAACAATACAGAAATGCAGTTGTCTTTTAAAATACATGTATATATAAAATGCCTTGGCATTTTTGAATGCTAGAATTCTTGAATTTATGACCTACATCTTTACAAGTTTTTGTTTATATTTTATATATGGACCTGTTCATACTAATTTCAATGCTTATGTAAGTCCTAGGCTGAAATAGTTTACATGGTTCTATGCCTATAACCTATTGGTTGCATGGTCTAAAAAAATAATAGAAATTAATGTGCTTAATTCTGATTGTACAAGAGAAAGTTTACTTCCAAAGGGGAGAGTTGTTGCCCTTGTTCTGGGTGTTGTCAAATTCAACCATGCAGTAAAATAGCCAGTCTTTTGTCCTTTGTGTCCTTGATGTGCTAACGCTTCCCCTGCTTTGACCCCTTGCAGCACCTATCATCATCCAAAAACCACCTTTTTTGGGTTTGTGTAAGGAGCAAGGGCTGGTGAGGAGGAAGGCTGTTGGAGGGTGTTTCTCTGGTAGCAGCCCCTGTACTGAGCTGCTCACTTGTTGTTTCATATGAGAATACAGTGTTGGCACATACTTAACCTGCATATGAGATAACTTACAGGTGGTCTGAGAATTTGATTTACCTCATTTAAAGCCATCCCTTTAGGAAGGGTGAGTTCAGCAAAGCTTCACTTCCTTTGTGGAGCACTGTATAGCTACAGCCATGGTGCTTCAAGAGTTAAACTGCTGATGAAAGCAATGTAACTATGTTCTTGCAGGACTGTGCTGACCAAGTTAAGCCTTGCCCCTCCCAAACTCGTTATTTACAAGAGAGCCAGTGTTTTAAACTAGAGCTGAGATTCACAAGCCTGTAGATTTTCATCAATTTAATGTTTTAGAATAACACAGGTCAGTAATGGAGTCTTCTATTTTCATGACTTGTCGTAAGCAAATTGCAGTACCGCATACAGCGTAGGGGATATGTGGAATAATGTACTAAAAAAACCCCAGTGTAAGTGGTAATTTTTTCTTATATTTAGTTTTCACAGTGCTCGTCCAAGTAAAAGATTTTGGATCTATAAGAAGCATTCAGAAGAGCTACGGTAATTTGGCTTTTTTCAATTACATCATTATGTTTCTACTTTCTGATAGTGAACTGATTAGTTAAATGAGATTAGAGCCTCTTGAATTTCTAAGCTTCCACAATCTAGAAAGAGCAGGGAAATAAAAACATTAGCTCTTCCACTAGCAGTGTTCTGTTCAGTGACATGTATTTGTTATTTGCCCACATTTATTCAATTCTTTCTTAACTCTGAGCAGTTTTTAAAAATATTTCTATTTCTTTATTTTGCAATTATACATCATGTGCAAAATGGGGAGGGGATGAGGGGAAACAAAAAAAAAGAAACAAACAAAACCCACCAAAACTGAGAAACTCATGCTTTACAGATTAAGTTTCTGTCTGAAGTGGTGTTCTTTGTACTACATCCAGCATGGACATGCCCTGGTCAGATAGGGATTGCCAGTTGCAGTATAAAAAGTAAGAACATGGTTTTGTGGGTCATCTCATCTAAAGTTGCAGGAAATTTTATTTAATTTTTTTTATAGTCTGACCAGTTGCTGTAAGTTAAGAAAACTTTTTTCACAGTCATGTTGTATTTATACTTCCTTTTTACTTTCTTTTCTCTAGAGGTGTGACTGTAGTGTGTCTTAACTGTGATTTCCTGACTGATGTTTCTGGCTTAGATAGCATGGCCACGCATCTGAGTGAAAGCCACACTCATACTTGTCAAGTTATTATAGAGAAAGGTGAGTACATATAGTGTCTTTTTTATATAGTATAAATATATGAATACTTACATGTGGATGTCTCTGTGTTATTGCACTCCTTTTTTCAGTTGCATTATCATTATTTCTCTGTACTTCAATTTGAAAGTGAGTGCTTCTGTATTTCCACATTTTAAAATATTTTTAATTAAATCCTTTATTTTTATTTTCAGTTTCTGTAGATATCCCAACTGCTGAACAAGTATCTGAGTAAGTTTTTGTTTTACTGCTCAATGTTTATTTCTATTAATGTAGTGACAGATGGGCAAAATTTGCACTTTGAACTTGGCTTTCTTTTGGATTTCAAAGGATTAGAAATGTATAGATGAACATAGACCCTTACTTTACTAGTGCTTTTTGCTCTTACCACATCCACAATTACAAAAATGAGGAGATAAAATGATTACCTACTGCAGCCAAAATCAAAACCAAGTTTTTAAGTTTGGCCAAAGAGATATTAATTCTTGCAGTATTAGAACTTCTCAATCTTGACTTCTAAGTCTAGACATAGTGAGACTGTTATTTCAACTTGCTTTTAATACTAGCTTTATTAAATGAGCGGTTTGTGTTCTTTACGTAATATTAGTATGAATACCAAAAAAAAAGTGACCTTAATTGAAGTAGGACAAATTAAGTCTTAGTCTTTTATAAATACTCAGAAATTATTTTCAAAATTATGTTATTTATATGACAGAGGTCTACTGGTTTGTATTAACTTCTTAATTCTGACTTCTGAAGAAAAAATATGAGGATTTTGGCTTTCAGTTTTTTTAAGGATTTGAAAAAGAACCTGCAGTATTGTGGAGATGTGTTGCAGGGTTTGCTTGGGGTTTTTTTAACCTTAGAAGAATCAGATGTGCCAAGCCATCCTTGATTATCCTCGAACAGTACCTGAGGCTTTACAGTGTAGATTGTGAGCCTACTTATGCCTTAATTGAAGGTTCAGAGGTGTGTCAGTTGAATCAAACATTTGCATTCCCTCTAAACCATTTCAGAACACAGGAACAAAAATGTCAATTAGACTGTAAAGAAAGATTTTTTAGAAGATGGAAGAAAATAGTTTAACCCTGATTCAACAGCAAGGTGTCATTGAGTCCATCTAGCCCATCGCAGGATTCTAAAAGGCATTAGACATTCTTATGCGTGATGAGAACTTTTCCAGCAGAGCAAGAAGTTCTTAGGCCTCTAAGCATAAATCAGCCTTCACTGAGTGTTGGAAATATCCCCAGTAGGTTATTTCATAACTATTAAGTATTTTCTTTCTTAGTTTCCATAAAGTGGCCAGTAAGAGGGTGTACTGGAATAATCTGTCATCTGACCCAAACATAGAAATGCTTTTCTTTGGCTATGAGTAATAGTAGAGCAAAATACATGCTATAAACTTCAAACCTCTATTAGTAACTGTTTAGCCTGTGATACAGTTGAATAAAACTGGTGGCCTGATGGGATGACTAATAGACATTATTAAAAAGAATTGAAGATATTCTGGCAGGAATGAAGAGAAGGAAGTTAATTTGGGAAAGCATCCCAAAAAGCCATTTAAAAAAATGAAATTTCTATTGAAATTGGACAAAACACTGGAAAGAGTCATCTAGGAGGGTGATCTATATTCCCTTCATTAATCCAGGGTGGTTTGTGTCCTTTAACAGTTAAGATTTCAGTGAAACTCAAACAATGGAAAAATAAAGTGTTGAGCTGTGATACCTGTGAAAACTTTAGCTTTTCTACTTGGAGCTGGAATTAGGTGTTGGAAATTAATACTTGCTGAGCTATATGTAAGGAAAGGTTATGAATGTATTGAATGGTGGGGAATGAGATACAGTTGTGGCAGGCCATTGTCAGTACTGCACAAGGATCTTGTTGTCTTAAATGTATTACAGAAATGTCATATGAAAATATTTAAGAATGTTGGATATACAAAGTATGTATTACTTAGAAACAAATGGGTGAGCCCTGAAGAGATTTGAAGTGGAGTCAAGAATATGTGCAGGTTTGTTTCTGCAAACTGTTAGATTAGGACAGATGCAGATAGCCATTATTTCTGAGAGCTCTGATGTTGGCCAAAGATTAGTTACTGGTACTACATGAGGTGATATCATCTGTGATGGTGCTTTTTGAAACTGTCATGCTCATAGTCTTCATTAATTTCAGTAAATCTCGTCCTGTTCCATATGCTAATTCTCTGACAAGTAATAGGGCAGGAGGAAATGGCCTCAAGTTGCACCAGGGACGGTTTAGATTGCATATTAGGAAAAATTTCTTCACCAAAGGGGTTGTCAAGCATTGGAACAGGCTGACCAGGGAAGTGGTTGAGTCGCCATCCCTGGAGGTGTTTAAAAGATGTGTAGCTGTGGTGCTTAGGGACATGGTTCAGTAGTGGACTTGGCAGCACTAGGTTAACGGTTGGACTCGATGATCTTAAAGGTCTTTTCCAACCTAAACAATTCTATGATTCTATATCTTTGCTAAACCTAAGAGCATGAGTATACCTGTGTAGCAGATTTTTTTAATTCATTATTTGCAGTACAGAGTGCACACAAAAATGTTCATCTTTTTGTGGGATGGTTCATCATGGTACTCTGTGGTTTGCTTTGGAAGAAGAGGAGCTGGCAGACAATATTCATAACTTTTGCTATGTAGTTTCTCAATGATCTATGAATGTTTCTTTCCATTCTTTGACCTATAATTCAATGAGGTATGACTTGTTTATGGGGCTCTTCAGAATCACTTCATCGTCAGAAACAATGACTCACAGTTACAATCTTGAATGCTTTTGGATCTTCTCTTGCATCTCTCAGATGGTATCTTTTGGTATCTTTTATTATATATCAAACTGTCTGTATGTGTTGTAAAACTCATCTTTATTGCTAATGACCAGACATGTTCGATGAGCTCTGTGTAGTGTTGATGAGACTGTCTTTGGACCAGAATCCTGCCATTAGTAATACAGATAACCTAGCTGGAGATGTTCCAGCAGGAATTGCTTTTTAAATTGTTACTCTACATAAAGTTGCCTTGTTTGTTTAGTGATCCACCTTGTGCTGAGGGAATAAGGCTTGATAACTATGCTGGTACTCTTCTAATGCTCAACTCTCTGCTTTGCGCAACAATTAACATATTTTTAAATGAACTGACAGCAGACATTTTTGTTGCAGGGGAGTTGAAAGTGAGCAGGTATCCTATACTGCCTTGGCTCACTGACACATCATTGTGGACCAGAAAATTGAACCCAGTCCAGCTTGGGATTATTTTGGTATGTAAGCGAACAAGGATCTGACCAGACCTTTTCCTTTTTCTTCATGCATTGAAGCTGTGGTATTCTCTTCTTGCATCTTTTAGGCAGCAGGTCTGGTCTTTTCTCCCAATATTGTAGTCTGGCAAAGGCCCTTCTGTGATAATGTTCTCTGCTTTGCAGCATTGACTTGCAGCTTTTTGGGGGCTATACTCCTTTGAAGAGAGGCTTACCAGGAGTTTCACTTATGTGATGCAGTGTTTCTTTGCTGCTCATTTGCAGTGTTTCTTTGCTGCTCAAGTCTATCAATATCATCCCAAGCTAGAGTAGTATGTAAATGATGACATATATGTGTTGACATCAAAGCCCATTTTGTTCTGAACTTGATCCTAGCTTCTGAAACTAAAGGGCTTTGTCATTCTCTTTGGGTGTTCACTAAAACGTGCAAGTCGTGATCTATTTAATATTCAAGTAAGTTGCATTTTTGTCTGCCAATGACTTTACAGTATATAGTGGGAAAATACGCTTTGAATTACTTCTGTCGCATATAACTGCATAAACTGAGTCTTGACCAAAGGAATTTTTTAGCTGCTTTGCTCTGGTAGCTAAGCTTCTTTTTGCTCCTAAATACTGTAGGAGGAAACCATGTGATGGAAGCAGATACATTTATTGAGCCTTGATTCTGAGGGTGGAGCAGCTACAGTTCATTCACACCTTGTTCTTTTGGTATCATCTCTCATCTTCAAGGATGCTCTACTCAAGCTGCTGAGACATCTGCTGCTTTTGATTTCACTGCTTCTGACTTCATCTTTAGTTCTAGATTATCTATGGCAAGTTTATCCATCAACAGGTTGTCTGGATATATGATGAGCTTTCCCTTTGTCATGATGAACATCTAGTGTTCCTCCAAACTCAACCTCCTGCTTACAGTGGATACGTGTCTTGGTTGGATCTCTTATTTACTAGCTTCCAAGCAACCTAATAGATAGAGCTAATCTTATTCTGAGATCAGTCACTGTTATAACCTCCTAGTTATAAGAGATTATTTTCGATGAATGCAAGCTATTCTTGATTTGCAGCACTTCCTTTTTCTGCATAATCAAATTCTCTGAGATTAATCCATTTTTACTGGTATTTTTCTCCTCTTCACTTTTAGTATTCAAACAGTAACAGTTTTGGTGATAGTGAGCTTCTGCAGCCACTGTGGTATTGCTAATAATGGCAAGGATTCTGTCATCCATTGTCTCTTATGCATATTTTGTGATTGAGCATCTGCACGCTTACTCAGTACTCTAAAGCCTCGTTGTTCTTTTTGCTACTTTTTTTTCTTCTGACAGAAGCTGTGTTCCATCTTGAATGCTGCTGTTCAACTTCAAGCATTGGTTACCTACTACAGGTTTTTCTTGCAGGACTTATTTCTGTTTTGACACAGCAGCATTCAAAAAAGCATAGTGGGTTTGTGTTTTCATTGTGAACATGCTGTTGCATTTCAGAGGAAGTTGAATCTGTGATATTTCACTTTCGTTCAGGTTTCTGGCAACAACAAAACTGGAATATGATTGCAGATTTTCATGGCTTTTAGAAATGTTCTCTAAGAATTTCCCAGAAATCACACTAGATTGATACTTCAATTTGAAATTATGTGAATTATACCTCTTTTGAATGTTCATTTGGAATATTATCATTTGGTTCTTTTACAGCTTTGCTACAGAAATTTTTTTAAGTTTCAGACTTGCAGTTAAAAAGCTTGTAAGCTGCATACAGATTTGCCAGCTTTGTGTAAATAGTTCATGTAGAAACAATTGGCATTGTGGCATCCTGTTTCCATTTGTGTGAGGATCTGAGAAAAGTTACTCATGTGGAAAACTTATAACATAAAACCAGTACTAAACCATGCAAGTAAACCTGCCTGACTCGATATTAAATATCCCTGATGGTCCCAACAACTACAGAGTTACATGAATAATGCAAAATATTG